ATTCCACAGCTGACCTGCTAAAAATGACAGATTTTCTTTTCTGGATCTCTGACAGACGGACTTCAATCTCTGAACTCGTAAAGTTTTTCTTTTTAATTTTCTCTGTCATTTTCATGAATGGACACTTCCTTGTATCTGAGGCAGGAAACATAGCCTTATATGGTGTTTTTTGGGGTGGTAATTATGATAATCTCCTCTCGCGTGCACGAGCAGCTGGATACGAACAGGTGAAATTTACACAGCTCATTTACACACTTTTCCTGAAGATAGAAGAGTTTGTTGAATCTGACGTGACATGTTCGTACGAACCCTTCGTACGAACAAAAGTAAGAGAAATTTAGGATAAGAATACGAACATGTTCTTGCATGGGGCCCATTGTTTCTTAATCATAAATTGTAAATATTTTATATTTTTGCTACATAAAGTCAGTGTCTCTTCATAAAAAAATTCAACTGAACTATCTCTCACTTGTCAGCACCAAGCTGCAGTCATTGGTGAATTTCTTGAGTTTTTCATCAGCCTTTGTTCCTTTTTCAGGTCTCCCATCCTTTTGTCTGGTTATTGCACTGGATGTGATGGTGTGATTGGAATCTGAGCTTTTACCGGAACTGGGATTAAAGGTACTGGGAAAGGAGCCAGAGATAATCTGTCCCTGGGAGCAGCTGACCATGTCTCGACTGCCCTCGTGAGTCAATAAGTCTGTCTGTAATAAAAGCTCACAAGATATGATACCAGATCAGTATTATCACTACTAAAACAGAATAGCAGCATCTAAATCGTTTGAATAATAAAGTCAATCAAGAGTAAATCTGGAAAGAAATTAATGCCTTTTTAAGTTAACTTGTGCATCAACACACTGCATATTGCATTCTAGCTGGGAATGGGACTCCAAAAGACCTTTGTAATATTTTTATTTTATTTTATTTTTCACTTAATTTAATCAGGACATTGTGCAACACTAACATAAATGTAAAACTATTCAATCCATTGCAACTCATATAGCCTTGGGCTAATTTTTATCTGTGGTCCCTATGAGGAAAAAAWTATTCCAAACCCAATTTTCTTTGGAATATTCCATTTTAATGAATGCAACCAAACAGACATTTGTTGAATATTTGCATTACTAAAATGAGAATAGATTTTTTTTCCATTACACATTAAAAATTAGATCAGTAGTAAGTTTGTGCATTTTTGCTTTTATAGCAACAGTTGGCAACATATCTCTGCCCAATAACAAAATGACTGTTTAATCCAAATCATGTCAATTCAGTCTAGTTCAATTTTATTAAAACAAGTTTAATTCAATGTTATGCATTTTATGTTATGTATATTCATAAATAGTTGCCCACAAATACTCTTATGACTCTTCTGGTTAAATTAAAGTTGTGTTTTTATCATAATAGAACAGTAAAATGCTGTGGATGGTGSTGACAGTGGAGAGGAAAACCTCCAACACAACCAGACCCAGGGACGGTGAGCTAGCCTAAAACTATAAAACTAAGAATTATTTAAGACATAATAAAACTGTGTTATTAAGAGCTTTTGTGCAAGAAAAAGTAGTTAAAAATAAATTCTGATTATTGCAGGAAGTCAATTAAGAGCACCACTGATGGGTATGGTTTTCTTTTTACTTCCCATCAAAACTCTCATTTCAGCTATGTGAATCAGTTTAAGGGCGTTGAAACATTGTTTGAGACAAATGTAAGAAAAAAAATAAAAAGTAGTGACAGCTCACCTGAAACTAGAAGAAAAATGCTTATTTTTTCATATATAGGTATGAATTGAGAGGGAAGGGTAATTTAWTGCAACCATGTGMAYRCAGCACTCTTAAAAGTGTGTGCATATCAGTTTGTGGGGTGGTTTGTGGAATGGTTTAGATGATGAAATTAAGCAAAGTAAAAATATTGCACAATTCAAGAGAAAATATAAGGAGTATATAAATAATGTTTACAAAAATGAATGTGATAAAATGCTATGTTAATTCTAAACTGTGTGTTAATATTTATTAAGTTCTAATCTATAGATGGTAAAGTAAATTGTAACTGGTTTAAGAATTTGTAAGAAGTCTTAGGAACAGGACTGGATAAGCTATTGCTTCTTCCTGTTCCCTTTTCAAATATGTGTTATGTTTACGTAATTTTTGCTGGAAATTTTCTGTTGTAATTAATGCTTTATTATTTTATTTGTTGTTGTTTTTCTCCTGTATTTGTTACATGTATGTATATGTATGTTTTATTTTTAGTATTTTATTATTATTGATTTTTTTAATTGTTCAAAATAATAATAATAATAATAATATATGACATAAAATTAAAGACATTGCCTATCATTTACTGCATATTTAAAGGACACACGTGATTCAAAATAATTAGAATTTTATTGGCCAAAGTACAAGAAGCCAACTTAGTACCATCTAAATTAGCTATATAATATCATATATTTCCTGAGACCCAGTGAGAGTGATCAACAAGAATTAGAGTTCCTATTGTAAAACTGCAGACAAGAGATTTAGCACTCACAACTTTTAAACAAATTAAAAGTAATAAATACCAAACAAGCTTAATTTGAAATACACTGATAGCATAAAGGCAATAAGATAATGCTACTGTAGGCAGCTTTCATGACCCCATTTAGAGGGTAAATCCTAATCATTTTAAGTGCTTGCACCTACATCTCTGGCATGACCTTGAAAGTCAATACAGAGAAGTCAGTTAAATAATCTGTGCAGAGAGACACTAACAGTGTGCACATGACAAGGCAGGCACTACTAACAGCTAATTTCACTAGTTTACAGTATGTCTATGGACAAACTTCACTTTAAAATAGATTACAAAGACT